ATTCTTAACTATCCCTCAGCTTATCAAGACATTCAGTTCAACGATACTGATAATAATTGAGAATTAACAAATATTGGTCTTACTGGCATTGCCCAAATCCCATGAAAGAATAAAATTTAAAAAGTACTTGCTGCTTACTTTGCAATTGTTCTCTTTTCAGATAAAGGAGAGAATACTATTTGCCTTTTCCATAATATTTTCTCATTAGAATTCTCACTTAAAAGTTTATTTAGGTTATTTCTATACTTAGCCCTCTCTCCTTTAAGAAAAAGATTTCTACCTGTTGATTATCAGGGAGACTACATACAATAACAGAGGTTGAATTCCATTACCATTCGAGTCCTAGAAGCTATAAAAATGCCTTGGCAAAAAAATGAGGTGCTGTTCCTCCATAAAACCAAAAGAACCGTGGATGCTGTAAAACAGGAACAAAAACAGAAGTTGCTGGAAAAGTGCAGCAGGTCTGGCAGCATCTGTGGAGAAAACACAGTGCTGTCAGACCTGCTGAGCTTTTCTAGCAACTTTTGTTTTTGCTCCTGTTCCTCCAGCTTGCTTTGAGCTTTGTTGAAGCACTGGAGCAGGCCAACAATGGAAATATTAAGCATGGGAGCAAGGTGGTTTATTGATGGCCACCATTACTAAGACTCGAACTTAAATTCCGCCAGCTCCCATAATGGCATATGAAACCAAGACCCCAGTGCAGGGCCTGGGCTTCTGAACCATGAGGCCAGTAAAGCACACATACCAACAAAAACTCAGCTCTTTGACTTCAATAATTTCAATCGTTAAATTAGCAAATAGCAAAAATTGCCCAACAGAGACTTCATGACAAAAACCAAAAACCAAACAAGGGTAAATGGAGAGGGGGAGGCACAAAATCAAAATTTCATAATGGGGGATAAGGGGTCAATAATACATCCCAGTTCTCCCTGTAGTGCCCACCTATCCTGAAAAGCTTCAGGTTTCAGTGAGTACTGTGCATTCCCTCTCCAAGGGCATCCAATGAGGATGTAATCACAAAAGAGAGAAAGGCATCAAGAACCAACTTGCTCTTTTTTCTAAATGAATCATATTTAACTGTAATAATCCATTAATTGGACAAAATACTCAACCAATACCAAATATGAACACCAACAAGAAAGTGGGCTAAATTAAAATGGAATTGGTGGGGAAAGTAATGCACCCTAGTCCCTAGTTATAACAGTTTTTGTTTAAATTTTATAATCCCACCACCTAATCACAAACACAGCTATTTTGTTTTAAGAAACAAACATGTTATGACAACTCTCGAGCAGGTGGGACTTGAACAAAGGCCTTCTGGCCCAGAGGCTGTGACATTACCACTGTGTTGCAAGGGCTGGAGAAGCAGCTTTTGCTTTGACACCCACCATGAAATCAATGGTTTGAGAAGTTAATGTCTGGATCCCGTGAACTGCAAACTTACTGATTTAGTGAATACAAATGCATCATTCTCCAAGCCCAACTACATTTTCACCTTTCTCTTTGAAGACTTACTCAGTAATAATGGTACATTATTCTGGATGACATCAGTTTAGATGAAGTGATGCAATCCTGCAATTTCACAGGTAGTAATGATTGATACGCCCGAATTGAAAACGGGCAAGACTTTTCACTTTTGTTTGACCCAATTCATCTGCTGTGTCCATGAATTCCAAATAACTTTTCAGTCAACTGACACCACGGTCTAGTGGGTTGCACCAACTATTGAATAAATCAGGAACTAAGATGCTCTTCGACTGACTTAAATCTTTGGTTACCAATGCAACATTTTCTCGTGGTTCATCCTCATCATATTCACACTCAGTACTATCTATTTCACAAGTTCTAAATCTATAGTTTAGCGTAACACCAGTTTCAACTTGTTTCTTCTGGACCCTTGCCTTGTCCAGAAGCCAACTCCCCATTCACTATAAAGTCAAATGAACACTACCTGCTCTCAAATCAACAATGACACTGATCCGGTTGGCTTCTAGGGACCTGCATTTCTAACAGCCCTACATCAGTCCTGGCTCATAACAACTTTAGAATGTCTAGACATCCAGGCAAAGTAACGTCATCAAGGATAAGCTGCCAATTACATTGAAGTATTCTCACAGCCAGCTAACAGGAACCAAGAATGATGGAATCCATTTCCTTCTTAGGCTTTGCAGATAGCAAACTGAATGATTGGCTAAAAATCTTAAATTTCACACATTAAAGTAAAATGAAACAATGCAATATTCAACAAGTATAAAATTAATTTTTGAGGGTATTTAAATCATAGAATCATAGAATCCCTACAGTGTGGAAACAGGCCCTTCGACCCAACAAATCCACACTGACCGTCAGAGCATCCCACCCAGACCCATCCTGCATAACCCACCTAATCTACACATCCCTGAACACCACGGGCAATTTAGCATGGGCAATCTACCTAACCTGCACATCTTTGGACTGTGGGAGGAAACCGGAGCAACGGGAGGAAACCCACATAGACACAGGGAGAATGTGCAAACTCCACACAGACAGTCGCCCGATGGAAAAGGATGGAACCGAATCTGGGACCCAGGCACTGTGAGGCAGCAGTGCTAACCACCGAGCCACCATGCTGCCCAGGAACAAAATATATTTAGTTCACTTATGTTAAAAGCACTGTCTCAAGGCACTTCACAGGAGCATTATAAAACAAAATAACAACAGTGAACCACCAAATTAGGTCACATAAACAAAAGCTTGTTCAATGAGGAAGACTTTAAAGAGTGTCTTAAAGTAAGAAAGGAAGGTAGAGAGGAAAGAAGTGCAGGTAGGGTGTTCCAAAGCTTGAAGCCTACGTAACTTTGACAGCAGATAATGTTGGGGACGCACAATAGTCTAAATTAGATGAGCACAGGAAAAAGCTATTAGAGAGCTAGGGAAGTGAGAGGCTGTGGACAGATTTAACAATTGAGAATTAACAAAAAAGAAACAGGATGTTGATTTTACCAGGGATCTATGTAGATCATCTAGCAAAGAGATGATGGTGGGGGAAAAAAATTGCTCCAAGTTATGAATTAAGACAGCAATTTAAATTTAAGACATCAATTAAAGCCCAGTTGCACTTCATTCAATTAGACACAAATAGGACAAGTTTTTCCAAGGATTCTTTCAGTGAGAATAAGTGTAAGTTCTACTAGTTCAATGGTGGCCACTTAATTGCATTCTAGGGGGACTTTAACAGAGCATCCTCTGGAAAAACAAAGTGTACAATCACATAGCATCTTCCAAGGTTCCACATTTAACTATGCATACTCTATTACTCTTTTAAAACTGACAGCAATGTCTAATCATTGAACCCTGACAGGTTCACGGATATTACTACCAAAAAGTCCAAATCATGTTTAATGCAGTTTTCGTGTCTACAGTGATTTTCCCCAAAAAATTCAATTGCATTTGTGTAGCATGACATATCTGTGGTGTTCGTTGGTTCTTTCTCATCTACAGCCTTTCTTTTTAGAGAAGTATGACATTTACAACTAAATCGCAGTTCAAAAGAAAATGAAGTTTATTTAAAATATATCTTCTAAAATCCTGAACTAATTTGGTTGTTTGAAGCAGTACACAAGGAAAGCTTTGAAAACTTCAACTGTGTCATCAATACCTAATGATATGGTGCCCAATGTGGTTCAAAATTATTATGGTAAAAATGAGATAAACTTCAAGTCAGAGATAGTAGGAACTGCAGATGCTGGAGAATCTGAGACAACAAGGTGCAGAGCTGGATGAACACAGCAGGCCAAGCAGCATCATAGGAGCAGGATGCTGCTTGGCCTGGTGTGTTCATCCAGCTCTGCACCTTGCTGTCTCTAAACTTCAAGTCAGCCAGGGCATCAGCCTGAATATTTCAATTGGCCACAGTAATCTAGCCAACAGAAGGTTAAGGGTGGAACCACTTCTAATCTTGTCAGCAGAAAATATAAATTGTGCATTAACAACACTTTTATTTTGGTCTTTAGCACAGATGTATTTTCTTTAACAGCAAAAGTAGCTCAGATTCTTGCCAGTATAAAACAGGTTGGCCATTTCCAACAAAAATACAGGACCAACCAGTACCCCCAGCTTGAATCATTGCAACTTTACACCAACACTCCCACGTAAATCATTTACTGTTCAGGAAAAGCAACTTACATTTAAAATGAAAGTCAGCATTTGTCCTGTGGTACACTTGACTAACACAGCTTCAATGCATTAAAAAAAGTACCTGCAGCTATTCCAATTTACTCAAGTTCTAAATATACCTAAACTCTTAAATTACTATGTTCAACAATCTGTGGAAACTGTACGACACATAAATAGTATATTCATTAAAGAAACAATGCATATGCACCGATCAGGCTGAATCTATCAATGATACGCAAACTGCAACCTTCAGGGGAAACGAGTTTTAAGAGGAATTTCACACACATTGTGGATAATAGACTTGACTAAAGCAGGTCCACAGATCCAATTCAGATTGTCCCACAAACATAAATGCTAAGACTCCGTACTTACACAGCTTACTATAATAACTACAATCACCTCGGCAAAATAAAAATCAACCGCTGAACTCTCGTATAACTCCGTGCGGTCTGTCAAACCCAAAGCTGAGTAATCCCTTACAGTTATACAGCTCTAACAATTTGTTCTTTCCAATGGCATCATCACCTGTCAGTTTTAAAGGCGTGGGCCTTGCTTACAATTTAAGGGAAACTGAAAATCACCAATCGTGTCTTCAAAAGTTTGGCAGCAATATCTCCCTTATACGTAGGACCCATACTTAAGCATCCCCCTCTACTAAGAAACAAAAATGTACTGTGTTAACATCATATTAATCCATTCCTGACAAATGCACGTGGGACTCGGTTTACTTAGGATACAATATCTTTTCGGCCTATCGAATGAAAAAGCACCATTTTCCCCAACGCTGGCGCAAAGCGTGAGGAGGCTGAAGGGTCACGTACACTCATCCACTCAGTGTTACTTACGTTTCATCGAGATCTATGGCAAAGGAAGAGACCGCAATGCTCCAGAAGGCTGCAACTGCAACAAAAACACATCTCAGTCAGATGGTGCGATAACACTCGAAAACTCTGATATCTTGGACAATCGTCCCTCTTCTTTTAATCTAAAAAACATGCATAATAATGCGGTAAGGATGTGAAAAACAAACCCGCACCCCGCGGTACATACTTCCCCACAATAGCACCACGAACACCGCCGGTACCTTCGCTGCCATTTTGATTGTGTAAAGAGGCTGAGCCTGGCCGACCCGGCGCATGCGCTCAACAACACGCCCCGCAGCGCCTCCGTCGTTATGGAGACCGGGCCTGTCCACAGTGCTGCTTGCAGATGTATTCACTTTTGGCATCATCAGAGTCTCGCAGCTAGTCTTTGTTTTTCGATCTGAAATGGAGGCACAAGTGAAAGACAGCGACCAGGATGTTGCTTGATGAAGGGTCTCGGCCCGAAACGTCAGCCTTCCTGCTCCTCTGATGCTGCTTGGCCTGCTGTGTTCATCCAGCTCTACACCTTGTTATCTCATGTTGCTTGATGGAATTGTGTACCGTCTACAAGATGCACTGCAGACATTCACCTTAGACAGCATCTTCCAAACTCACAGAGACAACAAGAACTGCAGACGTTGGAGTCAGAGACCACACAGTATGGAGCTGGACGAACACAGCAGGCCAGGCAGCATCAGAGGAGCAGGAAAGCTGACGTTTCGGGTCAGGACCTCTAAAGAAGGGTCCCGACCCAAAACGTCAACTTTCCGGCTCCTCTGATGCTGGCTGGCCTGCTGTGTTCATCCAGCTCCATACTGTTTTGTCTCATCTTCCAAACCCACCACCACTTTCGTCTAAAAGGACAACGGTCGATACATTGGAACACCACCACCTGCAAGTTCCCCTCCAAGTCAATCAACATCCTGACTTGGAAATATATCACTAAACCTTCAGTGTCGCTGTGTCAAAATCCTGGAATTCCCTCCCTAATGGCATTGAAGATCTATCTACAGCACATGGACTGCAGCAGTTCAAGAAGGCAGCTCACCACCAACTTCTCAAGGGCAACTAAGGATGAGTGATAATTGCAGCTCCAACCAGCGATGCTCACACCCCACATGTGAATTATAAAATGTATATATAGTTTAATGTTGGAAGCATTCAGCATTTCTGGCAGTATCTGGAGCGAAGGCAACTGAATCAATGTTTCAAGTCTATCATCAGAGGTGGGAGAACTCATCCTGTCATATACTTTGTAGACAGGAAAGAGGCAGCAAGCCACATGGAAAAGTTGTGAGCCCAACTCAACTGGTTGACTCCCATTTGAACTTAACATGTACAGGGTCTCAGGCCAAAATGTTGACTTTCCTGCTCCTCTGATGCTGTCTGACCTGCTCTGCTTTTCCAGCCTCACACCTATAGACTCTGGCTTCCAGCATCTGTCTCCAAAATATATACATACCCAGTTCTGAAGAAGGGTCACTGGACCTGAAACGTTAACTCTGATTTCTCTCCACAGATGCTGCCAGACATGCTGATATTTCCCAGCAATTTCTGTTTTTGTTTCTGATTTCCAGCATCCACAGTTCTTTTGGTTTTTTACATACATAGCCAAATGGCCATAACAGGGTGCTTTTACACACCTCTTTCCTGAATGAAAACCTTACACAATGTTCAAAATTCCACAGTGTTATGTACGTTTCTGGTTTTCAATTTACTTGCAAGTCTAACTTTGTTGCCAGTTTCCTATTACAAGAGGGCACTGCCTTTCTTGATTCATACCTTCAGAATTTGTGGAAACACCTTGCCCCAAGTCTGAGGAGAACTTTTATCCAACGAGGACTGATTTTTGTCATGGCCAGAATTGCTGCATATTTCCAGTATTTTCTATTATTACACAAATATTATTGAATATTTTAATATCTGCAACTCCTCCAATCCACTCCTGGCCAACGTCAGTTTTGGAGATTTTCTGGCACAGGAATATGTCCTGTTTTATTATTACCTGCTGATTTTTCTTATTTCCTTTTTCAATTTCACTTCCACAAATATCAGTCCACATGAGTCAACCTCATTCCCTGATACAATGTAAATCGTACAAAGATATATGCTTAAGTCACAATATGGAAACAGACGATTAATCTAAACAATCCATGGTGAAGTTTACCCTCCATGTGAGCAAATATTTTAATCACATTTACTCATGTTATTCCCATATCCCTTCAAAATGTTTTCCCTTATTCACCAATCTGACCTAATTTTGAGCATTGCTGATGTTTCTCCCTTAATCACTTCAAAATAAATTTAACATTCTCCTTGAATGCCTCCTGTTCTAAATTTGTTAATGCATAATTTTATTCATGGTCTCCTGTTCTCATCTCTCAAAATAACAAACTGAGAAGCTGACAAAACTTGATCAACACGTTCAAAAAGCTGCTACAACCCCAAAAAGCTTAATATTTGAGGAATGAATGGCAGCCAGGTTTTAGAAGAATTGCCTGCTCTTTTGAAAAATATAACGCATCACTTTGTCACTAGTGAAGTGAAATTCCAGCCTCAGTTGGGTCTTCAAGTTTCTGGTGAGACTTGAATCTACAACCTAACCCAGATGTGAGGTGTTACCAATGGGACTAAACTAAATAGGGTTTGGCCAAGGAATTATACTGAAAATGAAGTGGGACATGGATTTACATAAATTAATCTGAGTATTCAACATTGTGTGTACTTAATACTATAGTACATCATTTTTACTCCAAGGAAAAAGCAACTGAATGTTCAGTAGCAATGAATTCAGAATTTATTGAATAGAAGATGTCAGTGTAAATTGCAAGAAATTTATCTTATTCAGAGATTGAAGGATATCCTCCAAACAAACTATTGTTTCCTGGAATGTTGCAGTTATCTTAAATGTGCAAACAAAATAATTCTAGAAACTTCAATCAAATTTTGCAAAGAAATCTAATCTCAGATATATCATTCTAATTTGTAAACTAAAACCTTATAATGATCCAAAATTACAATGCATTTTATATTAACAATACAAAGCTGACTTACTGTGGCATCTAACCCACATCAGCCCAGAGGCAGGTGTGTATTACGTGTAAATGATTCTGTGCTAATATACCTACATTAAACAAACAACCTTTATTTTGAAGTAGCTTCATGAGGATAAGAGTAACTCAATAACTGAAACAAAATATTATAATTTAGTTCTGATAATGGGTCACATATCAACATGTCCTCTTTTTACCCATTTTTAGATGCTACATGACACATTTTAAACAATTTCTGACATCTTAGATTACAAATGACCTTGTTTTCAGGAGATGAATATTTAATACAGATATGTCATTGTGGGAGAGGGATTTTACTTGATTAAAAATAAATTGCTTAATTCCTTCCACTAAAATAGCAGAAGGAGTGATTTCAACACAATACGCATTTGTCTGTTATAATTCGCGAAAGCTGCTTTTTGCATTATATTCCTATTTTAACTCGGTGGAAAATAATTATTTTCTTGCAGAACAAATAATTTCAACAATACTTTATAATGCTGCAACTTTTTTTGATTAATAAAATGCATTAAAAGTATGGGGGTTTAAGGAGTAAGGCAGGCTGAACGGGCTGAATGGCCTATTCCTGTTCCTATGTTTCTAAGAGGGTCCTCCAATGATTTGCCATTTCTAATCTGGAGTTCTCAATTGATTACTATTTTAATAATTATTAATGACATGCCTTGCAGTTTCTTATGGATGTTGATCACTCTAACATGATTCTTTTTGAGATTTACAGAAGATATTCAATAATTTTCCACAATTCACACAAGAGACTTAGTAAAAAAAGGTTCATGGAATTAGAGGCAACTTATTGAAATGAGGAAGGAAATTGTTATGAGGTATGTGATGGAGAGTAGAACAATGGATACAGATTGGTAGGATGTGACTTGTGCTGTTCCCCCAGGACCTGGACTGGTGGCTTAGCTTTTCGCTATATTTATCAATGCCTTAGATGAAGGAGAAGAAGATCCTTATGTACAAGGTTGCTGACAATACTAAGTTATTGTAATATAGATGGGACCTCAAAATTGTAAAGGGTCATTGGTAGAATAAGTGAATTGGCAAAATTAAGGCGGACGAGGAAGTGTGAGATCATCCATTTTAGAGGCAAGAAAGGAGTTTTTCTAATTGGTGAGAAGCTAAGAACTGTGAAAGAGCAGAATGATTTAGGGGTCTCTGTACAAAAAAAAGATACACAGGTGCAAGTAATAATCAAAACAGCTAATGGAATCTCAAGGGAGTTCAAATATACATAGTTAACACTTGAACTACAGTTGCACAGCGCTCTGATTAAACACATATGAAGTATGGCAATCAATTATTTTTTAATTCGCTCGTGGGATGTGGGCATTGCTGGCTGGGCCAATATTTATTGTTCGTCTCTGATTGCCCTTGAGAAAATGGTGGTAAGCTGCCTTTTTGAACCACTGCAGTCGGTGTGCTGTAGGTAGATTCACCATGACATTGAATCAATTTTGGAAATTGCACTTCAGGAAAGTTACATTGGCCCTGGCAGATGGCAGTGTAGACTGTCCATACTGTTACTGGATGTAGAAATGTTCAATGAAGAAGACAGGTTGCATAAGGAAGGCTTGTATTTTCTATAGTATATATAGATGGATGATTTAATTGAGATGCTTGAAATTATCAAAGGATTTGATAGGGTAGGTAAAGTGAAATTATTTTCAAAACAGAGAATGACAGATTTTTGTCAGACACGACTATTACAGCATATGGTACCAAGGCAAGTCAATAGTGTTAATATATGTATATATTATGTATAAAATTTTATACATAATATATATACCAACTGAATATAGAAACATGCTGAATTGCCTGCAGTACTGATTGCTGTTATAGCATTTTTTAAAAGAATCTCCACCACTGTAAGCAAGCTTCCCACAAACAGCTTTGCAAGATATGTAAGGCTAAATGTTACAATTAACTTAACAACAAACTAATGATCCACATCAAATAATACAGTTGTTAGCTGTAGTAATATGCTAAATATGGGAGCCTTACTGTAACTTTTAAAACAAAATAAAAATCATCACTCCAATATAATGCTGTCTTTTATTGCTTTGGCAATTCATACTTAAATAAAGATAAGTATACTCACAGCAGAAATGACTTCCTTACAACAAGAAAGAGTCTGGAACTATTCTTGATGATAACCTTGTGGG